CAGTGTCACAAACGGGAATAAAGATTACATTTTCACCGATTGCAAAGATTATAATCTGGAATGGACCAGGGAATTACGGGTTCGGCAAGGAACAAACGGAATGAGAGAAGGAACGGAGAAAGGAGTTTGAGAATGGGCCGATCAAAGATTACGAAAAACGTTCAATTTCTGTAATCTTTATTCCCGTTTGTGACTCCATGAGGGGTGTTGTCTTGACTCTCAGTATAAAGGGACTCTAGGTGGATCGAGTCAATGGGGGAGGTCGGACAAAATTTGGAAACTTCAAACGACAATAACTCTGTTTACGCAAAATTCAGAGGTTCTAAGAGCGGTTGAATGGAGATGTTGCATGTGTGAGGAATTTGCGATTTGATTAATAATTCTTAGGTACAAGTTCGCGAGAAACACGATGGTGCCACTGCTTTTTCTGAAATCCCAGAGCTCAAAAAAGCTCTCAAGTTGAGGCCAAAATGGAGAGGATATCCCACGCTATCCTGAGAGTCCACCTCTACATCAAGATTAACTTTCCATGCAAAGATAGGGAGCAAATACATTAGCAGGGTTGCCGTGTTTTCAGTTTCAGAGTCACCAAATAAAGTGGAAGCCCTGTCAATGTGTTTGCTCCCTATCTTTGCATGGAGAGTTTGCCTTGATGTAAAGGTGGACGCTCAGGATAGCGTGGGATATCCCCTCAATTTTGAGAGCCTCAATTTTTTTTTTCAACTTGAGAGCTTTTTTGAGCTAGGGAGTTGATTTCAGAGAATACCAGCGGCACCATCGTGTTTCTCGCGAACTTTTAAATAGGAATCAACAGTCAAATCGCAAATTCCTCACATATGCAACATCTCCATTGGTTTCCTAGTAAAATTTTCTTCTAGAAACAGCCCTTGAAATTTAAAATGTGACGAAATAAACATCAAAATTAGCAGTTTTATTCAAAAATTTCATGTCCGGCCTCTCAAATTGAGTCGATCCACTGTGCGGCGCGGCGTTCGCGTTGAATGATGAACTTGGAGCTTCAGCCGCCTCTCGGGTACACGACCTTCGACTCCTCCCAAGCCTCATTCCTAGTCGGCATCGTAGAAGTTATAATTGAATTCGTGCCCGAAAATGCGCCGCCATTCTCGCGGTTAAATATGAGCACGCAACTATTTTGACACCCCGGCAGTTGTTTTGCCTGATTGAAAAAGTGAAGGTGCATCGGAGAAATAAGGTCTAATGAATCTGGAGTCCAGTAGAGTCCCTTTATACTGAGAGTCAAGACAACGCCCCTCATGGAGTCACAAACGGGAATAAAGATTACAGAAATTGAACGTTCTTTGTAATCTTTGATCGGCCCATTCTTAAATTCCTTTCTCCGTTCCTTCTCTCATTCCGTTTGTTCCTTGCCGAACCCGTAATTCCCTGGTCCATTCCAGATTATAATCTTTGCAATTGGTGAAAATGTAATCTTTATTCCCGTTTGTGACACTGTGAAGGCCTAAAATACGGGAACCAATCAGAGATGGATTCACATTGTCTTGACTCTCAGTATAAAGGGACTCTAGAGTCCAGACTCTTATAAAAATTTACGAGGGAAAATAATCTTGAATATTTTTGCTTGAATCAAAAAGAAATACGCTTAAATTAAGTGACTAGGCTCTTGATTCAAGCAAAAGTCCAATTGAATCAATGTTATTTTTCCTTTCGTTTCTTTCTATAGTTGTCAGAAATCAGAGAATCTGGAGTAATCCGGTCGGGGGAAACTTGGAAAAGTCAGAAAATTTTACCCGCCAAATCTGTAGACGCCGTGTGAGGTCATTTACGACGAAGAGCACACTACACAATCGTGGATCCAGCTAATGGCGTTTAAGATTTTTTGAAATTTTACGCCTCCATCACTGAGTGTTTTGATGAAACGACGGAATAGATGGCCATTGAAGCGCACGTCTTGCGTGTTGAGACGAGGATTTTCGGATCCCATTTACATTAACTGTGACGAGTAGTGGGGGCGGAGTCCGCGGGGGAGGCGCGCTTGTAAGGAGACGACTGTCACGTGCGCACGATTATCTTCCAAATTGTGACTTATGAGCAACCGAGGAACGAAACGTGGGGCCGGCGACACGGGCTCATTTCGGTGTTCAGTAGTCACCGTTTGTCTCAAACAACGACGCAAGAAGAACGCGACTCTACCAAACTTTTGCCGGTATTAGAGGGGTCTTCTGGGAAACTCGAGGGTTTTTTTTTGGGGGGGGGGGGATTTATTCGCAATTTAACATGCATCTGAAAATTTCCAAGAGATATGTTTGTAAGGGGCCGTCTTTAAATTATGGAACGAGCTTTTCAGCATTTTTGACCCCCCCCCTCCCCGTGGTAACGTTGCATGGTGTCAACGATCATGGTGTCAACAAACCCAAAATCTGATCATGGAGTCAACAATTGTTGACGTCGTGCTCAGGCAATAAAACGCAAAAATGGGCCCTGATCACGGTGTCAACAAACGAAAAAATATCTTCCTTATGAGTAAAATTAAAAAATTAAGTGTACAAGAGAGGTTTGGGTCACGTATAGTTAGATTAGGTAGGTAAGGTTAAAGTTAGGTAGGGTAAGGTCGGGGAAAGTTAAGTTCTGTGAAAGTGGGTTAGGTTGTTAGTCTACGTTACGTTACGTTAGGTAAGGTTAGGTTGGAGTGAAGAACACAAGAAAAACAAGACTTGAAATTGGAAAGATGTTAGGGAAGTTTTAAGTTTCGTTGACGTCGTGATCGTTGACACCGCGATCATCTTTCATACGAGTCAGAATTTTTTTATTTTTGGATGATCATGGTGTCAACAAAAACTTAGAAAAACTGTTTGTCGACAGCGTAATCGTTGACACCATGCTACGTAATCCTCCCCATCTCTTCTTGTTACGCTTTTGTGACGCAAGGGGATCCGGAATTTTTTTCATTTCTGAGCGAGAAATTCAAATTTTTGAAATTTTTTGAATTTCATCAAATGAAGATACTGCAAAAGTACTGGATATTTCTATAGAGGAGATACTGAATTTCTTACTGTGTGCTTAAATTAAGAGGCTTGATTTTCGATTCAAGAAAAAATCCGATTGAATCCAGCGTGCTTTCTCTTCTCAAATTTTTTCGGAGTCTGGACTCAAGATCCAAGAAGCTTTGAAAGAGACACCCTTGAAAGTGCTGTATGACAAACCGAATCCTTCGATCGATACGGAACATGATCCCAGTGTTTTTTATTCACGTGAATGATACGAAAAAGGATGAGAACACGTGAAATACAAGCTGAAAAAACCGGTCGAGCTTCCTTGTGCTTATTTTTATTCTATAAATTTGACACCGCTGTTTTAAGTTGGGAATCGAGTCGCTGCGATACGAGCCTGCGCGCCGCACAGTGGACCCAGTTGATGGAGGAAGTCGGGACAATATACCGGAACTTTAAAAGCTTGAATCATCGTGTATATGAAACGTCGAGGTTTAGAAAGTGATTCCGTTGGTTATCTCGTCAAATTATCTTCAAAAAGCACCCCTTAAAAGTTTAAATCTCGACGAAATAAACACCAAAATTTGCAGTTGAAAAAAAAATTTTCGGTCGACCCCTCAATTTGACTCGAATCACTGTGCGCCGAGCCGAGGCGCAGCGGAGCGGTGACCGGAGGATTGACCTTGCTCTTGAAAAAACTTGAACCGACGTCAAAAATTTCTCGGCCGGTATTTCACTCCGTGTGAGAGTGTCACTGCCCCCGATGAATTTTTACAGTTCGATATTTCGAGCCCCCCCCCCCCCCCCCCNAAATCGAACACGAATCCCGATCTGTATATGGAAGCGTGTTATCTGACGGAGGGCTCTTAAGGATGACGTTGTGCATCGGAAGAGGATAGGATGACGCCGCCATTAACGGTCTCTCGGCTTCATAACTGCACGCTTCTGTCCCGCGACTAAACACCGACGACGATATATTTAAAGGGTGAACATGCACGTTTGTTGATGGATGGTATGGTACGGTGTTGGGTAATAACTACTTGGTTTGGCATCGTTTGGTATAGTCTGGCAATAAACAGGTGTAGTAAAATATAGTATGATGCACTTCAGTGCGATACAGTATGCGATATCATGGTATAGTACGCGTTTTGTACATGCTGGCGAAGTGTTCTTGGATTATAACGTTCCCTGACTTTTCAATGTTTTAAGGCATGATTTTCCAAAAACTTCTATCTACGCAAAATTTCAAGCTTGGAGCCTCTTGAAATTGAAAAAAAAAATAAATGTTTACGCTGTAAGAAAAAATAAAGTTCTGCAGCCAAATTCTCTGACTTTTACGAGGTCAGAAATAATTCTTCTCATTTTTTAGATTTTTCCTGACCTTTTAAGAAAACCTTGTAATATTGTGCAACATAGTATGCGGTGTGGTATAGCAGTTAGAGGGCCGGATTAGCTGAGGTGATGAAGTGCTGTAGCACTCCGGGCCCCTTGCCGTTTTTTTTCTTAAAAATTCCGGATTCATTAGGGATCATTAGAATCTAAAAGACAAATACATAGAGGCCTTGCTTAGGCCTAGGATTTTGGGTGTCATGGGGCCCTCACATTTTAGGATATGGGACCCCTAATAACCAGTGGTCCGGGCCTTGAGCGCAAATCCAGCCTTGAGTATAGTATACTATAGTATGATGTAGTATCGTATTGTATAGTAGAGTATACATAGCACAGTTCAATACAGCACAGTATGTTACGGTGCATAATCGATAGGTTCTTCTTGGAACTATGCATTTATTAATTTTCATAAATCTTCCTAATAATTAATAATGATGATAATCTTGAATGAGCCGATCATTCAAAAAATTATATTTTTTATTCTGAAATTCTACTCCCGACGACTCATCCTCTCCAAGGTTACGTAAATAAATAATTAAAGCGAATACTACGACTGAGATTAATCCATGGAAATAAGCCTAAACCATTAAAAAACGAGCGTGATAAGATAAAAAACATGTCGACTTGAGAAAGACTGCTTACCTTCGTGTGGAGGAAAGCCAAGCTTTTGTTGACATTCTCGACTTTGTGGACGCGCATTCGGCCACTGTTTGGCTTCCCGAGTTTCTCACCAGAGATAATCTCGAGGAGCTTAAGTAATTTCTTCCCATCCGCCAGATCTGTAAACAGATCCTCCACCTCCATCCGAGCCTGAAAAATAAAGTAAGGAATTTCAGGAACTTCTTCTTGTTCTTCGTGTCTAGGAGAAAAAAAGAGGAAAAAATCGGGCTTGGATTTTTTTTTCCTGCCACTGAAAAAAAATCTCGGTGTATTTACTAAGAAGAGGGTAAAATTACCAAGAATTCAGGGTTCTATTTGATCCCAGTTCTTTCTTGGGAAAATTACCATTTATGGAATTGGTAGTTTTACCGAGGTTTCTCGGTAAAATTATTGAACTTTCTCGATAATTTTACTGGACCTTGGTAAAAACGCCAATTTTTTTTATCGACTGTGGTAGAATTACCGAGATAAAATGGCAAAGTTACCGGGAATTGATTACCAATAAAAGAGGTATTCTAAGCTGAAAAAAACAGTAAAAATACCTGTTTTTCGGTAACCTTACCAGTCTGCCTTGGTAAAATTACCAATAATTGGTAAAAAAAAGTGAGATGAAAAAGGTACCAACGGACCTTGGTAAAAACGCTGAGAATTTTTTTATTAGATAACTCACAGAGTATATCGGAAACATGTACAGTCTTCGTAACAAGACAAATTGTGTGTCGTTTTCTACCAATTGGAAGTGGAAAGCTCCGCCGAATTTTCAATTATGTGTAAATCCAACTTTTCTTATCGGATATACTTAGCAAAGTTGATCGAATGCTTCCGTCACAAATATCTTCTTGAATCCTTACTATTTCAGGGTGTCTATTAAAACATACTGGCCAAAGATCAGTACTTTTACATTACTTTTTTAGTACATTCCCGAGAAATTCAGGATATCCTCGACAGAAAAATTCAATACTTTTTCAGTACAACTTTTTGACGGAATTCGAAAAATTTAAAAACGTTTAGATTCTCGCTGAAATTGCGGGACAAAAATGACTGACGCAGACGCAAAATTTCATTGATGACTTGAAGGTTAACCGACTGCACAACCGCGATCTTGCAAGCAAATACTACTCTAAGGAATGAACGCGCAGGGGACTGCATACTTTCCGGTGCTTCCGGACCACCCTCAAAAAGTCAGTACTATTTCCAGACTTTCTAGAAATTCCGGACTAATAGACACCCTGGAATAAAAAGTAAAAAGAAGGAGAAACTGAGCCTTCTTTTTCGGCGACTATGCAGTTTAAGCTACTTCGTAGTCGAAACTTTTATATAATGGATTTCGGTCTCCACGGAACTGCGTAGCTCCATATCTCGCTACTATGTAATTTTCTTCGATGGCAGAAAATTGCCACATCTGATTGATTGGAGTAGACGCCAAGAGGGAGAAAACTAGGAAATCCATCGACATCGATTAAAAGGAATCCTTGCCAAGTAAGACGAGCGTAACTGTAGCCAACTACGGCTAATAGGAAGTGACTGAATTTTTACGACTAAAGCGAGAAAGTGTCTTCGAGACCTGGAATTTAAACTAGATCCAAAAAAGAGATCACGAACCGATTATTTTACTTCAAGTAAAACTCATCAAATGAGTGAATTTTTCTATTTTTTATACTAGATTTTTCTCTTTTTTAGTTCCTCGACTCGTTGAGATTTTTTTTATTTACCGAGCAAATAAAATTAAAACTCCTATCATCAGTAAAATAGATTTGCAATTTGATTACATGTTTAATTTCGTTGAAACCCTTCCAATTCTATAGTGCAGTTCTTGTTTTCTGATTTTTTCTGATTGAGTTTCGTAGTGAGCTCTATCATAAATGACGATTGGTAGATATCTTCTCAGAGCTCACAGAAAAACAGGATACTTCAGTTTACAATGTTTTATAAAAGTGTTGTTCATGCAAGTTTGCAAACATTATGACGAACTTTTGAATTATATTATTGTTAAATTACTAAGTAAAACAACCAAAATGATGGAAAAATCCGAGTCCCAAGACGCCTTGTGGTGCCAAGTGTCACTTTATGTAAGTGAAAAATAAATGATGCTTAGCTTAGGGGAGATGTCCAATAACTTTAACTCTTATACGAAATCTGGCTCAAAATATTAATAAAGATGTACAATAGAGAGCCAGGGATGCTAAGCTACCAAATGTTTCGAAATGGTGCGGCGGCCGTATAAATTGAAGTGTCAATAAAATCAATAAAAATCCGCTCAGATTGCAATATAATGTAGCAGCTGAGAGCGCCGTTATAGAGACCGTGTCAAAATCGCAATAAAGCACATAAAATTTAAATAAGTTTGAGAAATCAGAAAAGCTACTTGGCCAAACCTTAATATATTAAGCGATTGAGTGGGGAGTGGTTTTGGGTCACCGGGAATTCCGATACATTTTGCCGCCATTCCGATCATTTTACTTAATTCATGGTACTTGTACGGACATTTATTTCTATTTTATTCTTTGGTTCAACAAATAAAAATTAAATGCTAGGAGCCCCTGGCAGTTGATTATCACAAGAAAAGTTGGCAATTTCACCGCTTTTTTCTCGAACTAAATTCGCCTCAAAGAGTACACTATACACATTCTGGCCAGTGTAAAACTTTCGGTGTAAAGTTTTTCATTTGTATGCTTCTCTTCCATGGTATTTTATCAGTTCAATCAGAATGGCAGTAGAATGTTTGAGATAAAATGGGCAGTTTTCATTGTACTATCTCATTTATTTTTCATTGTTTATTGTAATTCTTTTTTCTAATCCACTACTCTGGTTTTAAGGTGTATGAATGTAGTCTGGGTGCTGCGTGAGAATAGGTTATACATGCAAAAGTTAAAAATGAAAATTAAAAATGGTTAATTTGTTTGTTATTATATTTGTTAAACGAAGTTAATTTACACTTGTAAACAGGTGGTTGTAACATAATTTGTTGAATAAAAAAAAAAAAAGTTTTCATTGTAAGATTCATTCTTTTAATAGACGACCAGCGACAGGAATAAAGCTTGGCAATGTTGCTGTGGGAAGGTATGGCGCTGTGACGCTGTGCTTTCGAGCAGTCAGCAGGCTAGAGGGATTTTAGCTTTCTTGGAATCTTGGAAGAGAGCGTATGGCCATAGGTACCCGAGAAGAAGCCTCTAAAAAAGGAATGAAAGTCTGTTTTGAGCTGGACTCGTCTCGGAAATCCGCACGGGAAAAGGAACGGATAGAGGAGCCGTCAAGGTTAGCCAACGGTTCATTCCACCTGTGTCAATATTCGCTGCACTTTCAATGACGTCACCAAAACCCCATTTAGAGTCGGGTTATCCCTATGTCTTGCTAGGAAAAACCGGTTCGCAAGAAATGAAGAAGTTTTACCGATCCATGAAAAAATAACCATCAAGCAATACAGTATATCAGTGAAACAGCACAGTGAAATTACCGAATCACGGATCTCCCAAGTTATCGTTCGAAAATATTTACGCTCGTTCATTTTTTAGAGAAAGTACTGATTGACGTTTCTCATTCTCTCCATTGTTTTTTGTGCTACACTCACCGCAAACTGTACTAAAATCAACACAAAATTTGTGTTGGTTCGTGCTTCACTTATTATACTGACCAAAGTCAACACAAGAGCACAAATATTTTCATCGGGGAGATAATTTCAGATTTGACCCGAATGTTGTGAGGTAAGTCTGGAGGTCCCGTATTTAAGTATGCTCACTTAAACGCAATGATTTTACGGTAATCCTTGGACGAAAGAGCCCGAGGGCCACCGTTTATCTGAATGAAGAGTTGTTGAACGCATACATACACTTTCTGAGAAATAAGATGTGCAATCTATTGCGTCACACTTCAGTTCACTCTTTTGATGCTTGGCGATGCGTAAAATGATCATCGAGACGGAGGACACAGTGAACGGGGGGAGAAAATGTACACAAGTAAGAGAGAAAAGCAAATTGGCTGCACTCTCCTTCATATCTTGCGATTGCTGACTCCACTCGAGTGCTGTGTAGGAATTCGCTTGACCGCAGGGGTATATGGATTGCATTTTGCAAAAAGGAACCACTAGCATTGCAATGATGCTAAGATTGTGCAACTTCATCTTTTGCAATAAAATTGCGGAAATCGTGAAAAACTATGAAATTTAGATGGTAATTTTTGTCTTAAATTTACAGTTTTTAGCGAGTAAAATAGAAACTATTAATGGATAATCGGGTTTTTCCTCCAAGAAAAAAGAAGTTGCACAATCTTAGCAACATTGCAATGCTAGTGGTTCCTTTTTGAAAAATGCAATCCACATAGTCGAGTCAATTTGACCCGACTTGAGATTTCTACGAGTAGTCATCAAAAAAAAAAAAAAAAAAAAAAAAAAAAAAAAAAAAAATCCCTCACAGGACATAACTCTCGCCAAAATGCTAGGTTTTAGCTTGAGAGGCATTTAAATATGTTTCTACCTATTCCTTTTACTTTCTCTTTTTCAAAATTCTTATTGATTTGGACTTATCATCGTATATTTTGAGCAACCTTCACTTTAGCTTTTCTCATACTTCAAAAATAAGAGACGCCTTGACGTTGGTTGATGAAATCGCAGAGATACAACTACTCGTGCTTGATGAAATCCATGTTGCATAAGCGAAATTGATGGCACGATGGCTCGACAAACAAACATCAAGCGGAACACAACATAGAAAGAGGACGCGTGTTGATGACGACGCGGAGATACAACTATTCGAGCTTCATGGATGTCCATGTTGCATCTGCAAAATTGAAGGCGCGATGGCGCGAGGCGCTACCGACCCGCGGCGCGGGTGGAAGGCCTAAAAGAGTGCTTCAAGAGGGGGAGTCCCCACCTTACTTAATTCTCTGCTGCCAATGCGTAATTATGGATGTGAATGAAGCACCTTGGAAAAAATACATTTTGGAATTTCGGAAGGCTTCAAAGCAAGAGAAAAAAGATAGATTTTCCGAACAGTTGTCTACCAGTTACTATGTATATTCGAGGCTATCATTCAAGGGCTTTCAAGTAAATTTGAACACTTACAAGATTAAAGACAGGTATTCGAGTACTTTATAATTCGACAAAAAAAAAATCAATTTTAGTCAAAGACTTTTCGAAACTTCCTGAACCCTACCCT